AGTCGGACGCTTAACCGACTGCGCCACGCAGGCGCCCCACCCCTCTTTTTTTTAAACAGCTTTATTGAGATGTAATTCACATACTATGCAATTCACCCATTTCAAGTGTTCAATGCGATTTTTACTGTAATTACAGAGTTCTGCAACCTTCTCCACAGTTAATTCTAGAACATTTCCATCATCCGAAAAAGAAACCCTATACCCTTTAGGTATCACGCCCCAATCTCCCTACTCCCTGACCCCCACGCAACGCCTTATCTACTTTCTGTCTCTACGCATTTGCCTACTCTGGGCATTTCATAGGAAGAGATCATAAGGGATGTGGTATTTGTGACTGGTTTCCTTCACTGAGGTGAGGTTTTCAAGGTTCACCCACCTTGTAATTACGTGCACTTTTTATACCTTTTTATTGCTGAATCACATTGTGTTTCACGAATATACCAATTTTTTTCTTATCTACTCATCAGTTGAAGGACGTTTGAGTTGTTTCTACTTCCTGGCTATTAGGAATGATGCTGCTGGGAACATTAGTGTATGAGATTTTGTGTGAACCAGTTTTCAGTTCTCGTGGGTATATATCCAGGATTCAAACTGTTGCATCATATAGTGACTGTGTTTAACCTTATGAGGTTATGACAGGCTATTTTCCAAAGTGGCTATGCCATTTTTCATTCCCAACAGCAGTGTCTGACAGATACAATTTCTCTACATCCTCAATACGTGAAATTTTTTTTTTTTTTATTATTATTACAATCATCCTAGGGGGTATAAAGTGGTATCCCATTGCAATTTTATTATTATTTTCTTTAGATGTCTCTTCAACTATGGTATTTACTTATTTGTTCTCTATGATTAAGAGTCTGTTTCTTGGCTTATCCCTCTCACCTTTTTTCCCGTTTGTTTCTTAAATTCCAAATATGAGAGAAATCATAGGACTTATTTCGCTTAGCACTGTACTCTCTAGCTCTATCCATGTCTTCGCAAATGGCAAGATTTTATCCTTTATATGACTAAATAATATTCTGATGTATATCTGTACCACATCTTCTCTATCCATTCATCAGCCGATGGACCCTTGGGCTGCTTCCGTAATTCGGCTGTTGTAACTAATGCTGCAATAAACATAGGGATAGTCCATTGTAGTTTTCATTTGCACTTCCCTGATGCCTGATGTTGAGCATCTTTTCATGTGCTTAGTGGCCATTTGTATATCTTCCTTGGAGAAATATCTATGTCCATTTAAAAAAAAATTGGGTTATCTTTTTATTATTGTGTTGGTTGTTAAGAGTTCTTTATACATTTTAGAAAAAGTTCCTTATTTATATGATTTGAAAATATTCTCTCCCATTCTGTGGGCTGGCTTTCACTTTATCGACGGTGACTTTTGAAGCACAATAGGTTTTTATTTTAATGAAATCCAATTTATTTATTTTTTGTTCCTTGTGTTTTTGGTGTCATATCTCAGAAACCACTGGCTAATTCCAGGACACAAAAATTTACACCTATACTTTTTTCCTAAAGTTTTATAATTTCAGCTCTCATATTTAGGTCTTTGATCCATTTAACTTTTATGTGGTGTGAGATGAGGGTTCAACTTCTTTTGAGTGTGGATGTCCAGTTGTTTCAGCATTATCTTGGAATTTGTCAAAAATCAATTGGCTGAAAATACAACGGCTTATCTCTGGGTTCTCCATTATATATCACTGATTTGTATTTGTCCTTATACCAATGCCACATTTTCTTAACTACTTGTAGCTCTGTAGTATAAGTTTTTATATCAGGGAAGAGTCGTCTAGTTTTGTTCTTTTTCCAGATTGCTTTGGCTATTCTGAGTCCCTTGTATTTCCATATGAATTTTAGGATCAGTTTACCAATTTCTGCAAAGACACGTGAAACTTTGAGAGAGATTGTTTTAAATCTATATATTAATTGGGGGAGTACAAATTCAATCCATGAACATAGGATGTCTTTCCATTTCTTTTTTTTTTTTTTTTTTTTTTTTTTGGTTTTACTGTTTATTTATTTTGAGACAGAGACAGAGTGCGCGAGTGGGAGAGGGGCAGAGAGAGGGAGACATAGAATCTGAAGCAGGCTCTAGGCTTTGAGTTGTCAGCATAGAGCCCAAAGCAGGGCTCGGACCCACGCACTGTGAGATCACGACCTAAGCCAAAGTCAGATGCTTAACCAACTGAGCCACCCAGGCGCCCCTATGTCTTTAATTTTTTAATAATGTTATGTAGGTTTCACAAAAGAGCTGACACTTGAACACAGGTTTTAACCACATGGGTCTGCTTATACACAGATTTTTTATAGTACAGTACTGTAAATGTATTTCCCCATCTTTATGATTTCCTTAATAACATTTTCTTTTCTCTAGCTTACACTATTATATGGAATAGAACACATGTCATAGACAAAATATTATATTATACACAACTGTCTATTAGGTAAAGCTTCTGGCCAAGCTATTACCAGTTAGAGTTTCAGGAAGTCAGAAGTTAAACACAGATTTTCAACCATGTGGAATATAAGTTTTGTGGGTTTTTATGTTAAATTTATCCCTAAGTATTTTATTCTTTTTGATGCTACTATAAAGGGTATTGTTTTTTAGATTTTTTTTCAGATTGTTCATTCTAGTGTAGAGTAGTGCAACTGATTTTTTTTTTTTTTTTTTTTTTACACATTTTTCATTTTGATCTTGTATCCTGCAATCTTGCTGAACTGGTTAATTAGCTCTAATGGTTTTTTAGCAAATTCCTTAGAGTTTTCTATGTACAAGATTTTATGTCATCTATGAAGAGTGATAGTTTTACTTCTTATCTGGATGCCTTTTGTCTTGACCGGGTCAGAATTTCTAGTACAATGTTGGATGGATGGTGATTTGCTCCTGATCTTTGGTGGGAAAGTATTCGTCTTTCACTATTAAGTATGATGTTAGCTGTGGGTTTTTCACGGATGCCTTTCACCTTTTTATCTGAAGGGGTGCTGAATGTTGTCAAATTCTTTGTCTTTTGAGATGATCATGTGGTTTCTCTTCTTTATTTTTTTAATACGGTGCAGTACGTGAACTGATTTTCAGATCTTAAATGAACCTGCAGTTCCTGGGACAGAATCCCCTTTTGTCATGATGTATACTCCTTTCTTACATAGTGCTGGATTTGATTTGTTGCGTATTTTGCTGAGGATTTTTGTGTCTTTATCCAGAAGAGGTATTGGTCTATAGTTTTCATTCTTTGTGATGTCTCTGTAAAAGCCTATCTTTAGAGAGAGGTGTCCTAACAATTTGTATATTATCTTTTCTACAAATTTCTGTGCATTTAGCCACAGATCCAACCATTTTGTAAACTTGTTTCGAGGTTCCCTGGCTTTTGTATTTCATGAACCATAAAAATAGTTTTAAAAAATATGTAACAACTGCAATGCCAATGAGTAATTCTGTCAAAAACGACATTTAAACATAATAGCTCCTTACTATTACAATCATACTATAAAAGACACTTTGACAGCAAAAGAAAAAAAAAAGAGATGAACAATATAAAAAAAAAACCTTCTTTAGGGCTTCTGCGACTAATCGTTGAGTGTCCGACTTCGGCTCAGGTCATGATCTCACGGTTGGAGTTTGAGCCCCGTGTCAGGCTCTGTGCTGACAGTTTGGAGCCTGGAGCCTGCTTCGGATTCTGTGTCTCCCTCTCTTTCTACCCTCCCCGTCAAGTGCTCAGTTCTCTCTGTCTCTTGGGTTAAATAAATGTTAAAAAAGTTATAAAAAAAAAAACCCCTTTCATTTAAATGTAATAAACATAGCTGTATGAAAATATTGCCTCATATTTGTCCTTGCTTTTCTACGATGCCAGGTTTGGAGAAGGGTGGTAGAAGAAAGAACAGTCACTACTCAGAGTTCAAAGGTTTTCTCAGTAAGATCCCTAAGTGACTAGAAAGATAGTTCAGCTAATCAGCTCCTATAGTCAGTCCTTCACCTCCAAACATTTTAAAGGAAACTGCACGTAAGCAAAAGTGTGGCATGGACAGGACCCTACAGATCTGATGCTTGTCTGTAAGCTACAGCAGTGGTTCCCACCTTGGAAAGAGGCTCAGTCGGGATCAGGTACAAGAAATCCAATAATCGTTTTGTACCAAGCGCGGTTTGCAGACTGATGAAATACAAAATGCAACAGCTATCATATGTATGTGTGAGTTTACGGGTTAAACAAACAAAAAAAGGCCCTTACTTTCAGAGAACTGTTAGCCTACAGTATAAGGTCCTTGGCAAGGGGCAACCGGATGGCGCAGTTGGTTAAGTGTCTGACTTCGGCCCAGGTCATGATCTCATGGTTCATGAGTGTGAGCCCCGCATTGGGCTCTCTGCTGTCAGCACAGGGCCTGCTGTATTCCCCTCTCTCTCTGCCCCCCCCACTCATATTTTTTTTCTCTCTCTCAATAAATAAACTTAAAAAAAAAAGGCGTTGGCAAAGCATACAAATACAGAGCCTGTCCTAATTTAGCCCACACTTGCCCTTTCAGATTTCTTTCCAGCCACTTAAGCTATTCCGTTTCCTGCACTTACATAACCTTGGTACTCCAACCTTAAGTCTGCTCTGCCCCCCTTTTTCAACTGGTAAATTTTACGAAACCTTTTTACGCTTTTTCATTTAATTTTACAATCTGCTAAGCACATACTAAGTTCCGGGCAGAGCATTACACTACTCTGT